GGAAGGACGGACAGATAAGAAGTGAAACTGCCCTCAAATTCAGAGCCAGTAGGAAGGTGGGCAAGGGCATCTCACGTGTGTGGTGGTTTGGCCACAGTGCTCTGACCGCCCCCCACCCCCACCCCCGGACCTCCACACACTCAGGAGAGGCCAGAGGCCGTGGAACATTCAGTCCCTAACCAGTCACGTCCTCATTGCTGATGACTCTGGTCACGGCCACCGCACGCCGCAGGAGGAAGTGCTGCCCGGCCAGCGCCACCCTCACCAGCGCTGCATGCGCCCTGGTCCTCTTCTAAACCTAGAGGACTCGCCTGCCAGCACCGCCTCGGGCAGTGTCTGTCAGGACCCTGCGGGTTTTCCGATGGAGAGTGTCAGGTCTTTCTTCCGTGTCTCTCAGTCTGGAACTCTGCTGAAACCCACCCACCTTGGAGCCCGCTGGTGTGTGAAGTACCAGGGGCACCGCTGCCAGCTCCACAGTAGCATGCAAGCCACTGGCCAAGGGGTGGAGAACTCCGAGGAGTCAGTGCGTTCGTTCTTAGCCACTGCCTCCTGAACGCAGGGTCTTTCTGAAAAATGATGGCGTGCCCCTCACACCACAGAGAACAAGCTGTCCTTGCCTGAGGGAAGCTGGCTGTTCCCGTGCTATGTCCCGCCCCCATTGGCCCAGCTTCTGTTACTGCACGTGTGCAACACACACACACACACACACACACACACACGCACAGCGCCTGGTTCAGGTGCAGGAAGCCCCTCTGGTCCTTCCCAGGCCAGGCCCCTCCCTGGGCAAGCCTTCCATGGAGGACGGCATGTGCATGCATGTGGGCATGTGGACAGGACAGGCTGTGTTCCCCACCACCACCCTGAGTTCACCTGTGCCACCTGCCCGCAGGTGCTACTGCTGCTACTCCATGGACTTGGTGGCCAGCGTCGCCTTTGGCACCCAGCTGGACTCGCAGGGGTCGCCGGAGCACCCCTTTGTGACCCACTGCAAACGTTTCTTCAGCACCTCCATCCCCAAACCCATCCTGGTTTTGATCTGTAAGTGCAGTGGCTATGGGTGGGGCGTATGGGAGCAGGGGCCGTGGCTGGTGTCAGTGAGCCCGAACAGACCTGGGACTCACGTCAACAGGGTAGAACTGCCCCCGAGGGTTTCTGAGACTGTAACTCTGCAGAAAGCCTTCTCCTTCTCCCTGGTGGCTTTGAACTACTGACCTTTCGGTTAAAGCAGTTCAATACGTAGCTCACCGTGCCACCAGGGCACAAAAACAGAAGGGTCTGCTCATGTTGAACAAGCTAATAAAGCCGGGCCCCTCTGCACTTGGCTGGGACTTGCCATGCGTCTGTCCCTGCAGCTTGTCCATTCTCTAGATGGAGGGGCGGCCCTGGGAATCTCAAGGACAAGAGCCTGGTGCTGCTCTTCAAAGTCCCCCTGAGGGCTGAGCCCGCCTGTGCTCCGGGACTGTGGGGTGCTGGGCGGCAGGAGCACAAGCCCTGCTCTGAGGCCCGTGGGTGGCCTGCTGTATCAACTGCTCCTGTTTTTTCCTCTTTCAAGTGTCATTTCCATCCCTGATGGTCCCACTGGCCCGGATTTTGCCCAATAAGAACCGTGAGGAGCTGAATGGCTTCTTCAACAGGCTCATTAGGAAAGAGGCCGCCTTGAGAGACCAGCAGGCTGCAGGGGAGGTAACAGCTCTGACTCGGAGCAGCGGGGGCGCGGTGAGGGGGTTGTGGGGTGGGATGGAACCAAAGTTGGGGGGTAGAATGGACAGTGGGGGATGACCAGGGGGCGTGGGGGGCGGGGGGTGTCACCAGGATGGAGGGAGATAGTGTCACTACTACTCCTGGGGTGCTACTTAAGAGCCCTCGCTTGTCACCTACCTTCCTCTCCCCTCCCAGCCCCCTCCCACCAACATCTCACTGAGAGTGCTGGGGGCTGGGGGGCAGGAGGGAGGTGGGGGGAGCAGGAAGAGGAGGGAAGGGGAGGGGAGAAAGGCCAGAGATGCAAGAGCCTCTGCTCACACTCTGAAAGGGGACGCAGAGTCCAGGCTGCCCCTTCTTTGCGGGCTCCTCCCCAGACAGGCATGGGTTGTAGCAGCCCCAGAACACGCCCACCTATCATGTCCATGAGCTGGTCCTTCTGGTAAGAAGCCCTGGTGGTGGTTGTGGGCCAGCAGCAACCTGTAAACTGCAAGGTGGGTGGTTCTAACCCACCTGCTGCCACTTGGGAGAAAGACGAGGCTGTGGGCTGCCATGGAGACGCACAGTCTGTGTCAGCTCGGTGGTAGTGGGTTGGGTTGGGCTGAGTCCTCGGATTACGGGCAGGTGGTAAAGTGGACGCTTAGAGGCTGAGCAGCATTCCGTCAGAGAGGCCGCCCTCCCCCATCAGCAGGCACAACCAGGTGGTGGGGGATCCCTTGTGAGGCGCCCCCGGTCCCTTTCACAGCCATCTTCCAGGACTGAGCATTTCTCTCCGCGTGTGTAGGGCAAGCACTCAGTGCATTTGACTTAAGTCCACCCAGAGGCAACTCGCAGAAAGTCCTGGCAACATGCTTCCAAAGAGGAGGCCTGCAGCCCACAGTGCCACGCTGATCCGCATAGGGGCCTGGCCACAGCCTGGGCTGACCCCAGAGCAGCCGCCACCATGCCAAGCACGGAGCAGGTGGCCTATAACAGCCGAGGACAGTAGGGTGTGTCACCAGGAGGTGTGGGGGCCAGGGAGTGTCACCAGGATTGAGGGAGATGGTGTCACTACTACTCCTGGGGTGCTACTTAAAGGCCCTCGCTTGCTGCTCGAAGAAAATGTACTCCACTAGAATGTCTTCCCCTTCACCAACTTACAGACTGATTCCAAGTGGAGCTTCGAAAAGGGGTTTTCTTGGGCCGAGGGCGGTTGGAGAACAACTCCACCAGTCTTGGAAGCAGGAGTGGCTGGGCCTTGGAAGGCCAGGGACAGGAGACGCTAGGCCCCAGAGAAGGACATCACATGTGGTCGGTGAAAAAGAGGACAACCCTCAGCCACATGGATGGACACTGGGGCCTAAGCTGGGCCACGGCTGTGCGGAGGGCGCCAGCCCGGGCGTGCTTCTGTCTGTGGTCCTCGGGATCACCACGGGTCAGAACCAACTTGATGACATCGATGAGAACCACAGCACGGGAGCCTGGGTGACCAGAAGGAGCTGGTGAGGCCCGGCCAGCGGAGGTCTGGTACCCTGCAGGGGCCCAGAGCAGCTGTTCCCCCTGCCCAGTCCATGGTGCCGAGGGGGGACCCAGGAGGTGTGTGATGACCTGTCACCCGGGCACCTGAGCCGTCAGGCCCATCCTCTAGGAAGAAGCCGGGTCCAAACCACTGCTATGGGGCTCTTCCCTCTGAGAGTGAGTGTCCTGGAAGCCGTGGACGGAGGAATCGGCAGCACGTTCTAGTACGATTGCCGGGAGGGGCCCACTGGGGGTGAGAGGTCACTCAAGATCCAGTTACTGGGACTGTCCTCCCAGCCTTTCCTCTCACAGACTGCTCTGATGCGGAGAGAGCAGTTTGTTTCCTCAACAGCTGATCTGAGCAAGCTGGCCCCAGGGCCAGGGCCAGCGATGCCATGCCACACAGATGCAGGAAGGTCGATATCGTCTGAGCGCCGGCGGGGGGCCGGATCCAAAGCCACATCTGTCGCCATCTCCTGGGCAGTGTGCCAGTGGCTTTTGTCCGGCAGCCTGCCAGGCCCTGCTGGAAGGGGGCAGAGTCCACCATGTGGACAGCAGCCTGAGCCAGAGGAGTGGGCAGCCACTACAGCCACCATTAACCTTCCACTATCACCCCAGAGGCCCTGGGGGCATGCACTCTGGGGTTTACACACAGGCCGTCCGAGGTCTAGGGATGCTGGCTGTCGGCAGGAGCAGTCACCCAGACTCTGGGCACACCTGTGACCCTGCTCTGCCCGGGGTTCCTCCAGAAGCAGGCATGGGGGGTACTAAGTAGGCACCCAGCAGCCAGGGGGCATAGGAGGCAGCCAGGTTTAGGGTGGCGTGTACCTCAAAAGGCAGAACACAGGCCAGGGAGCTGGGGCCTGGCCTTGCTGGCTCCATGTTCTGGCCACACCGGCTCAGCCCAGAGGCCTACTGGGGACAGAA